GAGCTTTTATTTTGAAGCGCCATTTTCTGCTGTAGACTGTGTGACTAACCAACAGCTACTTTACAGAGACAGCAAACTAGCTTGAGACATGGCCAAACTTAAGTATAACGATGAATATATTAAACTGTGTGGACCTTAAACTAATGACAAAGGAGAAATCTGGACCCCGTGGCTGGACCAGTTGGGAACCAGTGCTCTAAATACTTTAAGAAAATTAGCAGGTAATTCCCAGCCAATGCAGTGACCTTTCACTTTCAGCAGACACTTCTGCTCCTCTTTTTGCTTTTATATTTTAAATATTAACACATGTACCTTTATGCCTGTTTGTCAGCTGATACCAAAGATAACAAGAAACTACCTCAAAGAAGGATACATGGAAAAGACGGGGCCATTGGTGAGTTGTTAAAGAGGGAAAAGTTAAACATATACAGATACACACATTGATTTTGTCGGCACTCAACTGCTGCTTTGACTTAAACATGCATTAAGAAACACACTCAAGGTCTTCACCAGCATAGTTAGAGTTATTTATGACAGTAGTAGCACATTTGAATGTTTCAGTTCCTCCTACACAGTCAAACACACACGCACACACACAAAATGGAAAATGGAGCCTGGGCAGAAAATGTTCAAATTCATACTGCAATTTTTTGCGTGAAACATTGAACATGGTTTTTCTTTTTGCTTTGTTTGTTTAACAGCAAACAGAGCTGTTCAAAAAGAGGTGGTTTATCCTGGACGCTCAAAACAGGAAGTTATTCTACTTCAAAGGCCAGCTGGTGAGGACTTCTCATTCTAACCCACTCCTGTGCTTTATTGTCATGATGTTTGTCCAGCAATCACCAATATGTTTGCACGTGTGTGTGTGTTATCATTAATACGAACACAGGACGCAGAGGAGTTAGGGGTCATTTTCATCGGCACAGAGAGCAAAGGTTACTCTGTGAAGGAGTACGTCCCAAAGCATGCTCGGGGAAACAAGTGGAAGTGTGGCGTCATGATGGAGACGCCTGAGCGACAGTTCGTCTTCATGTGCGAGCAGGAGAGGGAGCAGAAGGAGTGGCTGAACGCCCTCAGACATGTCCTGTCCAGGCCCATGTCTCCGCAGGATTATGCGGGTAAGCAAAGCTAGAAAAGCAGGGCGGCAGTAGCTCAGCCCATAGGGACTTGGGTTGGGAACTGGAGGGTCGCCTGTTCGAGTCCCCGTCCGGACCAAAATATGGAGCGTGGACTGGTGGCTGGAGAGGTGCCAGTTCACCTCCTGGGCACTGCCAAGGTGCCCTTGAGCAAGGCACCGAACCCCTCAACCGCTCGGGCGCCTGACCAAAGGGCAGCCCCCTCACTCTGAGATCTCTCCACTTTGTGTATGTATAGGACCTGTGCGTGTGTGTCTTTCAGACCTGTGTGTTAATGACAAGCAAGAGTGAAAACATTGAATTTCTCTGCAGGGGGATTAATAAAGTAAATAAACTTAAACTTAAAATACTGCCAACATGTCAACAGTGTACAGTGCACACATGTAAATACGTTTCTGTCAGGTGAAAGCTTAAAGTTGATGCATTTTGGGGTCTGTCCAGTAAAATAAGACATAATGTTATTAGCCAAGGGGAGATATTCTCAATCTATAAAACCTCCTAGTTTTTACATTACATCTCTTTGTGTTCATACATGTCATGTTAGCCACGTCACACTCCACGACAATATAGAACAGCTACTTGTAGAGGCATGGAGACTTTCTGGGAAAGTAACATTAAAGGAATACTTCACTCCTCAAATGATCATTTGTACATCAATTAGTCACTCCCTGTTATGTTGAATTAGTGAAAAAACTTTGCTTTTTTCATTTCATTTTAATTTATTTTATGTATAAGGACTTTGCCCATTAATTAAAATTATCCGAGATGTTTTGAAACCAATAAAAGGATCAAATTCACAGGACAAACACAGCATAAAGACATGAAGACAGCATTAAGCAGCAGAGTTCGCTGTCTGGCGACGGGCAAGGACATAAAGCAAGTTAGCAGCAGTTTAGCAAGAAACAACAACAGTGTCTCAGTGATCAGTGTACTGTGTTGATTAGAAATGTTCATATTTTCCAAAACCAGGTCTTGAGCCTTTGTTTGAATGTGTGATAGATGTTACGGTTTCATATCTCAGATGGGAGATCGTTCCATAGTTTAGAAGCTCTGACAGAGAAGCATGATTGGCTGAAGGAGCTGGACACAGTCCCCTCTCAGTGCAGACCTTGTGGATCTGCTGTTTGAGTTTTTTTCTTTAATAAAAAGTGCTGAGTGGTGGAGGAGCCTTGGTAATTAATATTTTAAACATCAGGCAGATGTCAGTGTATTTCATTACATTTTCCCAACTGAGGATGTCATGTTTATTAAGAATTTTGCAGTGAGATCCTGCATGTAAATGGGCTTTAGTGTTGTACCTTTTGCCTGAGTGCAGCTTGTCATACAGTGTGTGAAATGGGGAATGATCCTTGCATTCGAATAAAGTTTTGCTGCTACAGTTGTTAGTTTGATATGTACCTGAAATTAGACTGTGTTTTGGCTGTATGCATAACTTTGTTGAGTTGTTTTTTGAAGGATAGGCTGGAGTCAAGAATCCCTCCAATGAACAAATGAAGTCTTGTCATAGTCATAGGCAGCCACGTTTAACAAAAAGCCATTAACAGGGCATCTCTGATCTGTCCTTGAACAAGGTATCAAACCCCCTACTGCACGGGGCACCTGCCTGACATCTCTCCATTAATGTCTATCCTAATACAGGTCCTGTTTGTGCATATGTGTGTATTTCTGACATGTGTGTAATGGATAAAAATAACAACAGATTGAAACAATTCTTCTTCAAACCTCTGTGATTCAATCCAATATCTGTTAAGAGGTTTCATGGTAAAACTAGCCAGGAAAATCACTAAAAACACTAAAGTCAGTTGGATTCATCCTCTGGGGATCATAAATGACTGCACAGAATTTTATGGCAATCAATCCACTAATTGCTGAGGTATTTCAGTCTGTACTGAAGGAGCAGAGGGACCAGCCACCAGACATATATTGCCATCCATGGAGCCATACAACAAGCAGACCCCCCGCCCCCAAAAAAGAAAGGTTATTAGGTTACCTGCTCCAGGTTTTTTTCTGCAAAACCAGTACTGGCTGTGTATCTGCACTCATGTGTTCATGCTTGCACAAACCTGTACACAGCACCACAGGAAGCTGTCATAGTCAACCATTATGCATCTGAATGACCCCACTCTAATACTCTCTTTTTCCAGCTGAAGCCAACATCAAGTATAAAAAATGAGCTACAGAGAGGAGTCAACAGAACGATGGGGCGAAAACTGCAGCGTTTGAAAACACAAGTGACTGAACTACTGCAACACAACAGATGAACAGTGACCTGCACTGTATCAGTACTGACTATTCACCATGTTGCTCCTCGGGCTGACTCTTGTCTTAATGTCGTGGTGAAGCCTCTTGAACCCTGACGCCGGCTGTGCTCTCTGCCACAGGGTGGATTAAAGACCTCCATCCACTCACTTTAACTGACACTGGATCTGATGCTCACTCTCAGACTCTATACTGAATCATTATGCCAAACCCACTCATGACCAAACACACACCCCTGTCACATGATCAGCATTGTTCTGTTGTAACAGAAGATTGGTTTACAGTCACCGCATCATCATGCTATCTTTATGATGTTTGTTATCTTAAATTTCCTAATGAAGGGGCATATAATTGAAAATGTGGTGGTGAACATGTTTCATGACATCATTCCCAGAAAAATAAATGACCTTTTTTTTTTGAAGAAACATTTGTGTGTGGTTTAAGTCATTGATTACACATGAAGTCGGCATATCTATCTATCTATCTATCTATCTATCTATCTATCTATCTATCTCCCCACTAGGGGTCGTCAAAGCTTCAGGGGGGCTTGCAGGGCCATCTTGATTTTAAGGGGTGTAAGAAAACTTTAAAAAAAGAAAAACAAATAAAAAAAAAAATACAGTAGGCCAATATCTCAGCATTTCATTTATTTCTGTAAAAAAACCGAAATAAAATTATTCTATTTAAAGTTTAGGTTATTATTTAAAGTACAGACTTTTAAAAAGCTCCCAAAATAAAGGTAAGGTGAAGACCTGAACACAAGTTAAATTCACAGGGCCTTCACTCTCTGCTAAACAGCCTTGTCCTGCATTAAAGAAGTATGCAGATAAAACAACCAGGGTTAAAAGAACAATGGCCTAATGTGTCAAGAAGAAAAGACTGAATTTGTTAAAAACAGCCTACAAAGTATGTATGATTGTGATAAAAAAAACTTAAACAATATATACACAATAAAGACAGCAAATCCTTAAATCCCCCCAAAATATCAGTAAAACTCATCTCTGATGGAGTATTCCCAGGAAATAATCAAATCACGTTTTGTGCAAATTGCTCATTTTAGATAAAATAAGATTAAGATAAGATAAAATAAGACGAAATAAGATAATTCCGCTTCACACAAGCTTCCTGCAGTTATCAGTCATTGCTTTGCATTGAATATATTATGAAATATAGATAAAATATGCCACTTAGTCAGGAGTCAGGGGTCTTCAGGTTACTCGGTGATAGAAAAGTAGTCCCTTAAAGAAAAAGGTTTGGAGCCACTGTACCACAGGATTTATTGTGTATTAGTACCTACTTTTTCTGTATTTTTTGCCCCTGTATTATCTTTTTTCAATACAATATTAGGCCTAATTGTAAGCCTACCCTGTGCCCTGCTGCCATTTTAATGTATTATTCTTCTTATGTTATCATTATTTTATTATGATGCCTAAATGTTTTTTGTTTTTGTCTTATTGTTACATATTGTGATGATTTCTACAGTGAAGAGATCAAAAATAACCATTTACTGGGGAGGAACCGTGACATGCAGTTCCTGTCTTTGCCACCAGATAGCAGCACAACGCGTTTTCAAATTCCATATGAAGTTTGTCCTGTATGCCTTGCTGTAGTTGCCGGGTGCTGGAGGTCGGGCATGCCCATGAAACATCCACTGCGAAATGCTATGCAACCGCCTAAAAGAGTGTGATTAACATTAAATAACAGCGACATGTGCCTCAAACTACTCTTTAAATTGCTCTCGCTCACGAGCTGATTAGTCACGAGTTGAATAGAAGCGCGTGGGAAACACCGAGGAGCTCCGAAAACTGTCCGTCCGTTTTGTCCTACAAAGGCGCCGAGAGTTTGACAGCGGCAGGACCTCACTGCGCAGGCCTGACGTTAGGTAAACTGCCGGAGGAGGACGGCATCCAAAAGGACTCCATGAGACAATAAAGTCTGTCCTTTCTGCAGAGGGAAGCGAGTGAAAACATGAGGAAGGACGTGAGGATACTTCTTGTTGGGGAACGTAAGTAACGGGTGTCTTTAATCCCGAGCTGGGTGAATGCTGTGTTAGCTAACATGCTAATGAGGGAGCTAGAGTCTACAGCTAACAGATGCACACAGTGGATCTAACAATGTACCAAGCTGTGTGACTGTATGTGCTGTGAGGGGGTTACACCGGTTTATTACATAGTGTATAAGAATCAAGTTTTTCAAAGTCTATGATTAGCATAAATATCCTGAGTTTAGTTTGAGTGTGATGCTAAAAACCAGTAAAGTATCTCGTGGTACAACATAGCTATATCACCAGTGTTTCCATTTACTGCCATGTCTTGACTCTAATTACATAACTTCTCATATACAGACATAATTTAAGGACAAGGCTGCTACTAACTCTAGATTAAATAGTGCATAACATAACAGTTTTCCTAGGTGTTAAAGCTTAATAAAAAAATCTTTAGGGGGAACTACACCCATTTTATAAATTCATACATGTTATTTCAATGGTCTAAGATAGTCCAAAAATATTAGTATACATAAGCCACTCTCCTAAATCCAGAAGCTAGACTGCTAAAACTCAAATTTGTGATGTCTTGGTGTAGAAGACATCATAGTGTTAACTTATGACAAAAAATTAACTAAAATTAGCAAACAAAAACAGGAGACTGGTGAAATTATTGTTTTTAATAATGTTTTCCTCTGTCGATAGTTTTCTCAAAAACTGTGCGGCCTTTGAATTTTCAGAAAGTTTCTCACATAGATGATAAATCCCAATCTCACTAAACTGTGTTTCACCTGGTCTCTTTGTCCTCCTCGAAGTAAATGTGTTGTCAGTATTATTTATATTTCAGTTATGGTCATGCAGGATGGCCTACACTGCCACATCTGGCAAACTTAATTTCATTCTGCAGTGTGAATTGAAACTGGGGCTGAAACTAGTAATTATTTTGATTATGTTTCCATCTGTTGATAGTTTTCTCAATAATTGTTCGGCCTTTTAATGGTTAAAACTCACATTTTCTTTTCTTACAATCAGAATTTCCCAAAGCATCAACTCCCGATCGGATTTGAGCATATCTTAAGAATGGGTTGTTAAAAAAAGAAAGAAAGAAAATAAAGGTCCTGAAATCAGAGTAGATCATGTAATCCAGTTTTGGTTTCAATTCTGATCAAACCTTCAGCAGGTGTTGTTCAAACCTTTTAAATAAGATTGGAATATCTGTGATCCAAAAAAAAAAAAAAAATCCTCGATCCCATCAGAGGGGTGGGTTCAAAGTGGTTATCAGGAATAAAATGCAGTAAAACTTTAAAATTGGTCAACTTCATGTACATTTATTTATAATTTGCACTTGACTTGTTTAACCATAGCTAGATAGAGTAGACATTAGGCTCCCTACGGAGCTTTTTAGTAAAATAAAGGACTGTGTTGTCTTAAATAATCCCTAAATATATGTTAATATCAAACAAAAATAACTCAATTATTACTTTAACTTACTTTATATTAATAACAATGACATGGTCAAAACTGTTTTCTAACAAATGGATTCCCCATGCTGTTTTCTGCTTCTTCAAATTAAAAACACGTAAAAGTGACCCCACACTGGCTGTTGTATTTGTTCTTTACATAGCCAGTAGCCTACCTTTTTTAGTCCCATTTAGAGCACTGGTTATCTGGAGTTAGTCATCTTGAAAAGTGTCTCATGTATGTGGATCGGGGTGATCAAAAAGTGGCACAAAACTATGATGGATTAGCTGATTCTGGATAGTAAAACATGAGATTTCCCAATGTGGATCATTCTGATCCATATTACATTTTTAAAAACACCTGGGCCCAGGTGATGTTGTCGAATCACTTGTTTTGTCCAACCAACAGTCCAAATTCCTCAAAATAATCATGCTGCTATCACATTAGACAAAGAAAAGCAACAAAACCTCAAAATTTAGAGGTGGAAAGATGATAACATTTGGCTTTTTTGTTTGATAAAAACCTAAATGATTATTCGATTATTAAAATAGTTGCTGATAAATTTCCTGTAAATCAGTGATGCACTGTATATTAAACAGATTTATTGGTGAATATTCTGTAGTCATTATAAGATCTTGACACTTCCCAGGACCCTGTAGTGAGGGTAGAATTAAGCCAAAAAGGCATTAAATCCCAATCTCATTGAACTGTGTTTCACCTGGACCCTTTGTCCTCCTCAAAGCAAACGTGTTGTCAGTACTATTTATATTTCAGTTATGGCTATGCAGGACGGCCTACACTGCCACATGAGGCGAGTTGGTACTGACTGTTCCTGAGAGAGGTGCAGCCAAAATGCTACGTGCCGACTCCAGTGCTGTGAAGTTCAGCAGGGTGCAGTTTGTGGGGTTACAGATAACAAATAGCCTGTCAAGACGCTGAGGAGCCAGACTTACTGCAAACTAGGGCTGCATTTAAAGATTATTTTCAGTATTGATTAATGTGACTGAGACCATTTGTTTGATTAAATAGTGAGAAAAGACTGCCACAAGTTGATTTTGCTCAACCAACAGACAAACCCCAAACATACTACTGAAAATCATATAAAACGAGAAATAGTTTAAAATTATATTGTGTATTTATATCAGATAGATCTATTTAGTTAATGTAATGTGTTTTATGATGTGGTGGCCCATTACTGGTAAGGAGTAAATGTTGGGTATTCACACAAATATGATATTTCCCTTTTTATAATCAGAGTTTTGCATTACCCAATGCAAGAACAGAAACCCTGTAACTGTGAGGATACTTAAAATAGTGCACTTATTAAAATATGAACAAGTCATTCTTGAATATCAGTGCAAATCTTCGGCCAGTCTGTCTATCATTAGCTTATTTTCAGACCATATTCTCAACCTTGTATTATGGCTTTGTTCTGCGCTGGAATTTCTTGAGTGCTCGTTTGCACTTGGCTGCAGCTCTTAACCCTCTTCAGCTGCTCTTATCTGTGCCCTGTCACTTAACACATTACCCAAAGTGCTCAATATAAAGCACGGGAGAGGTCGAATGTTAATGACCCACTGTCGGTGAAAGATGTGTGTAATAACAAATGTTTTCCCTTTGCTCATGCAGCCAAGGTGGGGAAGACATCACTGATAATGTCTCTGGTCAGTGAGGAGTTTCCTGATGAGGTATGTATCTACAGGAAATCACATGATAGAGTGGTGAAAATCATCCTGGCAACGTTAAGTTTCCACTCTTATCTGGTTCAGATATTTAAAGGCTGGACAGTTAATACTGTAGATTTGTCTCACTGTTATTTGGTGGTGTCAAAATGAAGACATATGTCACATTACCGAGGCTTGGTGTGTCAGACGTGACTTGATTGTTGTCCTCTGTCTGCCAGGTTCCTCTCCGAGCTGAAGAGATCACCATCCCAGCTGATGTCACCCCGGAGAGGGTGCCCACACACATCGTTGACTACTCAGGTAAACCCTCTCCCTACTACACACACACACACACACACACACACACACGGTCTGCGACATTAACATCATCAGTCATCCTTGCTCCATATTAATAGAAATAGATTGATTTGGTAACAGTAGGGCTTGATAACATGTAAACTAATGTACTGATGTGCTTCTTTCAGAGGCAGAACAGTCAGATGAGCAGCTGTACCAAGAAATATCAAAGGTTGGTCTAACTTAATGCTCACTCTCATCTTATCTTTTAATGTTTCTATTAGGACTGAAACAGTATTTGTATTAAGCCGTCACAGTTTGGTTCACTCAGCCACAGGTAGACTACACATTATATGTAGACCGATGCTCATAATGTGGAACTTGGGTTCATAATCTTGAGTTGTGCCTGGATGCTTTCAACTGTACGGCATCAGCAAAACAAGCAGGTTGAAGTGCAAGTCAGTCCCACAATGACGAGTGGAAATAACAGAGGAGCCGTAAGACCTGCCTGATGGTTCGCAGTCAGCTACAATAGCAAAGGAAAGAGAGTTGTGTATAAGATGAAGACTAGGGCTGGGTATCGCCATTGATTTCCTGATTTGATTCAATTTCCGATTCGATTAGATTGATTCCGATATTGATTCGACTGGAGGTTTTTCAGTTACAGTACTAATTTTTGCTAGTATGTGAAAGAGATTCTCAAGGAACTAACAGTGTAACATTTACAAGGAATTATTCTTTAAAAAGAATAAATTCACAACAGGAATAAAGTCAGGACGCAGAGACGGCAGGAGGAGACGTTGTAGCACGACAATAAATTACACCCAAATGTAAAAAAGTAAGCTAACAGTTACAGATAAAAGAGACGGTTATGTTGGAGCGTCTCAATACTACAGTCGTTCATAACATAGCACTGCGGCTTGTTTACTACCAGCGAGATTAACGGGGCTAAAGCTTCACACATCTGTTGGAAAAAAACGTATATTAAAAGTTCAGTCTGGGATTTTATGAATTGATATCGGGTCATTCCGGTGAAGATCGATTTGAATGGGATGAATCGATTATTTTAACCCAGCCCTAAGGAGGACAGTGTATAAGCATTGCTCCACCTTTGCAGGGTATGTAAATGGAAAACACATCCAACGTGGTCAAGCGTGTTTAATGGCATCACCCAGGTGTGCCGATCACCAGGATGATAAATGCTTGGGTGCTTTGAATTTTTAAACATAGCCAAGGTGAACCTAACTGAAACACTCCTCCAAATGCACAAGTTTTATTTTTATAATTATAGTTATTTTGTGTTATCGATTTTGTAGCATGAGGGAGGCTTCTTAGTTTTATAGCCTGTTGTGACCAGTTGCCATTTGGTAAGGTGTTTGTTCAGTGTTCATTTAGTGTAATACAGAAGCCTCTGAAATTATCCTTATTTTTATTATGAAAGCAGTTTACCAAGGTTGGCAGTGTCCAAAGTGCCACCTCACTCCACAGCAGGTGGAAGTTGTCTGTCTTTGACACTTGCTTTACTGTCTGTTCAGAATAAACCAAGAGAAATGTATCCTTATGCATTGTTTTTCCCACTGTACCAAACTGGCACTGGACCATGACCCCTAAACCGAGGTTTGAACCAAACTGTGACCTCTGTGTACCATTTCACCCCTAGTTTGTACCCCATGTATCTCCTGTCTACATCACAAGCTAATATTGCTGTTTATCTTTACAGGCAAATGTTATCTGCATAGTTTATTCAGTCAACAACAAGAAGTCCATTGAAAAGGTGAGCATCGTTTCCCTCTGTGGTCAGCACAGTTAATCAAATACACAACAGCAGTATGTTTAGAATTTGCAATAGGACGCTGCATGTGCTCATCATCTTAATCTGAGAAATTCATTTGACTTCGTAATGAGTGTTTGCGCTGCTACGGTGTCTGATGTTGTGCTTTACACATCTAGGTGACAAGCCACTGGATTCCTCTCATCAGTGACAGAACGGACAAAGATAGCAGGTGTGTGTTCGTGTACAGGAGTTTGTTTTCACTGTGGGTCACGCCGGCTAGCTGGTGCTTTGTGTGCAAGCTGACAATCAGAGTCACAACTCATTGACTAATCGTGGCAGCTATATAATGTACTAATGAATGATGGCTTTATTCAGGGTGCCATTGATCCTTGTGGGCAACAAGTCAGACCTGGTGGAACACAGCAGCATGGAGACCATCCTGCCAATCATGAATCAATACCAGGATATCGAGACTTGTGTGGAGGTAAGAGATCAATACACACATAAACCTTCTGGATCCACTGAGGGTTGTTAGGAAGTCCCACTCAGTAAAATGTCAAAGAAAACTGATGGAGCACCTGGGAGCTATGAATTGGCAAATGAAAAATGAAATCCAATACTGGCAGCGACTGTCAGAGAGAGTTTGGCTCTGTGCAGGACACATCGGCCCCCAGCTGCTCTCAGGCTGCACTCCAGCTCCTGACTCCACTTACACTCCGCCTGAGTCAATAATAGATTTATATCACTGAACCCCGCGCTCCAAGGCCACAGCCTGCTGAGTGATACACTGTGAGTGTGTTGAGAGGCTTGGCTGTTATGGAGGAAGCTGTCTGCCGTCTGCATTGCTGCTGAATTCAAATTTCCCTCCGTGGCATGAGACGGCTCAGTCATGTGCTCCTGGGATCAGTTACAAGGTTAAATAAGGGAGATGAGGAGGACGTGAGAGAAGGCACATACAGTTGGGGGACAGTTGCACAGCTGGTGTGAGTAGGGCCCATGTGAAAGCTGTGAGCCAATGTTTACTGCTGGCTCAGTGTTGGAGCAGGTCCAGGACTGGATGTATGTCCTGTTTCTCTACTGACACCTCTGTGTCCATATTAGAAATAAAAGTATTAAGACATAGTAAACAGGGTGTCTGCAGGTCCTGAAAAACTGTAAATTCATTTTTATAGATAATAGTCTTAAATTTGAATTTGTGAAGTCTTAATTACCTTAATAAACACTTTGTCTAATTTCATTTATCTGTCTTATAATTTATTTTTGTCAAAATGAGGCAGGCTTATCTGATGTTATAAATCTTTCAACCTGCATTTATCTTACCAAAATGTAGATTTACCTTACCCACTCTAATAAACTTACTCCCACAAAAACCTACCTCTGCATTGGGACAACATATATGTTGCTTACGTTTATACTCAGCTAAAATGTGGTGTGGTCAGGGTAAAAAGTAGCACAAAATTAAAATACTCAAGTGCAAGTAACTCAGCATTGTATAGAAGTATTGCACTTGAGTAAATGTACTGAGTTACTTTCAGCCATTGTTCTGCAATAACTCTGTTCTGTATTATTAACCCTCTATTGACACTGTTAAATTGTGTTTTCACATATTACATTATTTGGGAAGTTGTTAAATTAGAGGTTATAGAAATTAAAAATATTAAAAACTCTGTGAACAATATAAGTCAGTGTAGATGAGTTCAGCCATTCCTGATAATTTCCCTCCATTGTTGCTGTTGCTCAGAGCATTCACACAAACGTGCCCTCTTTTCCCTCAGTGCTCTGCCAAAAACCTGAAGAACATCTCTGAGTTGTTCTACTACGCCCAGAAGGCTGTTCTCCACCCAACAGGACCCCTGTACTGCCCAGAGGAGAAGGAGGTGAGCTCGAACAGATACAGCAGACATTTTGACTTATCTTAAGCCCCTTTTATACAGGAATTGTGCAAATTTGCAGGAAAGCCCAATCAGTCTTTTTTCAGCATTGGCAGTATAAAAACAAAATCGGGGAGTGCAGCAAAATGCCGCCTACCTACTTTTGTTTATACAGAATGCGCCTTTTTTGGGGTAATGGGGGGCGTGAGCAAGTAACAAAACGTGTAGCTCAGTGTGTGACATAAACAGTGACGTGGGAGGGAAGCCGCGGCTGGTCAGTCCTTTGGCGATTCTCTCATAAGTCGGCCCGTCCTTCACCGTCCCCCTCATCTGGTTAATGGCCTCTTTGTTTGCGAGGACAAGGAGGGCGCGCAATTCCTTGTCTCCCCAGTTGCTCATCTTTACAGTGTCTGTCAGGTTTGCGTTTCCCTCTTGCTACTAGCTGCTCACTAATTCCTGCTTTCAGCTGTTTCTTTTTTATCCACCGCCAGTGGTTTGCACGTGCGGCGTCATCAACAGCTCCTCCCACAAGTCATCAACAGCCCCTCCCGTTGCGGAAGGCTGCTTCGGTCTGTTTAAATTAAAAAGGTTCGCCAATATGTCTACCTAGTCTAGTTGTAATGCTGTGCACTATAGAGCTATTTGATCTTTTTTAGGAGTGCATAAATTAACTTCAGTTTCAGTTATTTGTGGAGATATGGGATGGGTGCCTCCAAACATCAGACATAAATGTGAAATGCTTCGACTGTAGAATAGACTTATAAGGATGTCAGATCAGAGACCCACTAAAAAGATTTTTATTTGGGACATTTTACATGGTCATTCCTGGGCTAACGAGATGAAATTCTTATTTAATTTGAATGATTTTTCATTTATCTTTCATAACAGGTTACTTTGTAATATTCGAGAGTTAAAGAATAATATGTTTCTCAAGTATAAGGAAAAGTGGTCTGTCGATATATGATATAAACCAAAATTACGAACTTACTGTCTCATAAAAAACTGTTATGATTTTGAAATGTATGTGAAGTATAATTTAAACAAAAGACAAAGATCATTATGTGCACAGTTACGTTCAGGAACATTACCCTTGGCTTTAGAGACCGGCAGGTTTAATGCCATTCCAGAGGAGGACAGACTTTGTCAGGTGTGTGAGCTCGGTGAAATTGAGAGTGAGGTCCATTTTCTGTTTTACTGTTTTGTTTATGAGGACTTGAGAGATTTACTTTTTATTAAAATGTCCTCTTTTATTCTGATTTCTTTTGGCTGGACGAGTATGAGAAACTTGAGTTGTGTTTTAGAAAGGGAACCTTTTTTGTTGCAGATTTTATTTGCAAAGCGTGGGAGAGAAGGCAGAATATTCTGTTTAAAGTCTGAGCTGTAAAAGTGGCTGTAATTATGTATGAAATAAAAAGAAAAAAAAAAGAAGTACACTGCAACTGTACTTTCTTTTTGGTGTTTTATAAACCCATGAGGGTTGGGCACTTTGTGCATGACACGTAAATAAAAAATAATCAAACAATCAATCAAAATCTACCCTACGAGGCGGAAAATTGGGCACCTCAGATCAACTCGCCAATCCGGCTCTGTGTGTCTAAACACTCGCAGTTTGCCGGCAAAAGGCCCAACATTCGCAGAAAATCTGGCAGTGTAAAAGGGGCTAGAGTAGGAGAAGGTGTGAAAAAGGTCTGTACCATGACCCTGAAACAAGCACTTTTAGTGGAAATAAATTGACGCTGCACAATTGCCCGTAGGGATCACACCGCAGCCTGTTCTGCTGCTGCTGCTTCAACACTCTCGCTCAACACTGGACCAATACCAAAAAAAAAAAAAAACAACTTGTCTCCACTGTCACTTGAACACAGAAACATAGGAAAATAGGGTCCATGTTAAAAAATACAAAAGGTTCTCTTCTTAAATAAAAATTAAACTGATAATGTAAACCTGAAGTAAGAACCTAGTACTCACAGAACCCCATACCTCATATTACATTACATAGAAATCATTCCACTTATGGAAGTATATAAATTTTATATTGGGATTGAGGGGAACAGATTTTAACACTGTACTGGCAGAAATCCTCTGTCTAGATGTTGGAATCCTATTGGGAGATGAAAGTTATTTGCCTCAGTGTTTACTGTTGATTTAAATCTGTCTGCATTGTGTAAGTACATGTAACCACCTACATGAGTAAATGTCTTTTGCATTACAGCTGAAGCCCTCCTGCATTAAGGCTTTAACTAGAATCTTTAAAGTGTCTGACCTGGACAACGACGGCATCCTTAATGACAACGAGCTCAACTTCTTTCAGGTAATGCTTTTAATAGTTTCACTGTCCACATTGTTTTCGAGACTATATTTGATCAAGATTGTAAAAGTTTTCATCACCAGTAAAATGACTGGTTTAGTTTAAACATGAACCAAACCTAAAGAAACTTTCAGCTTTCTCATGGCACCTGTGTTTTGTGTGTCTATAGAGAACGTGTTTCAATACACCGCTGGCGCCTCAGGCCTTAGAGGATGTAAAGAATGTTGTCAGGAGGAACATGACCGATGGAGTCAAGGACAACGGACTCACACTCAAAGGTCAGACACTCTCTTGTTACCTTGTTTTCATATTCCTTTTCTTTGCTCCATCCTCCTCGTCATTACTTCTTCATGTCCCCTCAATGCTCCCTCTTTTCTGCTTGTCTCCTCCATTTCTTTATGGCAGTCACTGACCTTTTCCATTCTCCTGTTACTGGCTCTTTACTGCAGGCTTCTTGTTCTTGCACACCCTCTTCATACAGCGAGGCAGACATGAGACCACCTGGACTGTGCTGAGGAGGTTCGGATATGACGATGACCTGGAGCTCACACAGGAATACCTGTTCCCCATGTAAGTGTAGACTCAAAGAGCTTTTAACTTGCTATATCAGCCTGGTGTTCTGTTTGAAGGTCCTACTGCGTTGATAATTCGAGTAGTATAGCATATACATAACAGTCCCTTTTTGTTAGTCATATTGATGTCTTGTTCCTCTTTTGACATCTCATATCACATTGATCACAGTTCACAGATATCAGATCATTTCCTCTTTTCTACTGAATTGTTGTGGTTGACTTGGAGTAATTCAGGCAGATTGTTTCATCCTTTGTTACTTTTGAAGCACAGCCAGTGATTGTGTGTCCAGATCTCTCTGTTAAATGTTTTTGTCTGTCCCTGTATCACAGGATAAAGATCCCCCCGGACTGCACCACAGAGCTTAACCACAATGCATACCTCTTCCTCCAGAGTGTCTTTGACAAACACGACAAAGTGAGTGGTTCAAAATCAGTTTTACTACCTCTTTGTGTCTTTATTATTCAATTATAGCTTATATTTCTAAAGTTAGGAAAATCTTGTGTCTTTCTGTGCGGGTTTTTATGCATTATGTCCAGATTTGTGAGTCTTAATGTGTGCTCTTGATCCAGGACAGAGACTGTGCGCTGTCGCCAGAGGAGGTGAAGGACTTGTTCAAAGTGTTTCCCTACATGCCCTGGGGTCCGGATGTGAACCACACGGTCTGTACCAACGAACAGGGATGGATCACATACCAGGGCTACCTCTCCCAGTGGACGTGAGTGTGGAACACGTCTATTAATACACACAAACGCACACACATGCCTATGTTAGTTTTATACTACCTGAGTACATTCACACTACTGTAGGATCATACATCCTCATGTTGAATACACAGATCATTTTAGAAAGTCATGCTTTATGTAAATCTCTCACACTGTCAGACTCATCACGACTTGTGTGTTTTATGTGGCAGGTTAACAACATATCTAGATGTACAGCGTAGTTTGGAGTACTTGGGTTACCTTGGCTACTCTATCATCTATGAACAGGAGTCCCAAGCTGCTGCCATCACAGGTAAGAACCTGTAATTACATTCAACTCTGTTTTTGTGATCTATGTCTAGTAGGGCTGCCACCGACCAAGAATTTTCCTAATTGACCAATAGTCGTCATTTAGGGCCATTACTCAACTAGTTGCCTGCATGTTTACGATATTAATGTAATTATTAAATGATGTATTTTGGGCGGGGCAACACAATGGTTTGAGTTGAAGGTGTGAGAAAGAATAGTATCAGTAACATTGTTAACACTGTGCTACATTACAGAGAAATACAAAACCGTACTAATGAACCTTCATTAATATAGGCCTATATTTTATCTACAAGTGCATGTCACACACTGAGCGAGCCGCCTGTTAATGACGCTGTGGGCTAATGGGCATGTAGCTACTTCCATGTTTCAGAGGATACGTCATGTTTGTAGTCGACCAATGAAGATGAGTTTACATATCACCTTGGGTTCGTCCTTCACCTTCTCAAAATGATCCCACACTTTGGATTTCCTGCCCGACATGTTACTAACTAGCCTGTGGAATAACCGCAGGTACCAGCCCTGTGAATTAGGGGACGTACACATGCCGCGTCTTTTAACGGCCTGGAAAACAGGCCATATTTTTTTTTAATTCAACAAGTAATTTGTTGTATTTTAGCAGTATACTGAAAGTAGCAGAAAGGTAGAACTTAATACCCATTAATATCTGTTTATGTATTCCAAATAATATTGTCATAGTGTTCAACAATGCTATCACATATCAGTTCATGCAGCCCTCATGTTTACTGCCTCTTAAAACTGACTTTTTGCTTTTTGTTCACTTGAATATAAAAGACATGGGTTTTATCACATGTTGCCACTGATCATTGTGTTCTTGCTTTGTAAATATATACATGACTTGTTCTTTCAGTGACACGGAACAAGCGCATTGATCTTCAGAAGAAACAGACCCAGCGCAGCGTCTTCCGCTGCAATGTCTTGGGGGCCCGGGGCAGTGGGAAGAGCGGCTTTCTTCAAGCTTTCCTGGGCAAGAACCTGCAGGTCAGTGGAAGTCTGAAATGGTTTTGAACTTTTTAGGTGTAAGAAGATGAGTTGATTGTCTGAAGGAAAGACCTTATGCATTCAATGGTGGACATGTGTGCAAAAAGGCTCCTTTTGTCACTTTTAAAACCCCTGTTTTTGCTTGCACAGCTCAAACTAAAACAAACAAAAGAGTCAACAAATTAAACTTGATCCACGTCAGAGTAGACGACAGAGGAGAGACTGTCGATGTGACACTTTGATAAACTGCGTTGGATTTAGTCAGCTTTCAGATTTGGAGCAAAAAAGCCAGGGCAACTTGTTGACTGATGTTTGTTTTTTGACCATGTTTATTTTCCACCACAGAAACAGAGGCGGATCAGAGAAGACCACAAGTCCTTCTACGCCATCAGCACGACCTATGTTTATGGTCAGGAGAAGTACCTGCTGGTAAAAAACATTTACTCATCATCTGATTTTTGGATTACTGTGCGTTACAACTGACTTTCATCAGTATTAGTACTCTGCAGTTAATCCCTCCATCTGCACACTCTGTCCCTTGTCTCGTGCACTACAAGCTCCATGAGGTGATGCCAGATTTTGACTTCCTGTCAGAGGCGGATCTAGCCTGTGACGTGGTCTGCCTGGTGTACGACGTCAACAACCCACGCTCTTTTGAATACTGCGCCAAAGTGTACAAGGTATGTTTCAGACTATGGAAGAATGCTCATCAGACATACGATGCCTCGGAAGGCCTAACTAATAACATTAAACACTTGTGTTTGGCAGCAATACTTCATAGATAGCAAGACGCCATGTGTGGTCATCGCCTGCAAGTCGGACCTGCACGAAGTACGGCAGCACTACAGCCTCTCACCGCACGAGTTCTGCCGTAAACACAAGCTCCACCCGCCCCAGCCGTTCACATGCAGCACGGTCGAGGCACCCAACAAAGACATCTACACTAGACTCACCACCATGGCCATGTACCCGTGAGTATCACACCTCTTTGTGGTCCATTCTAGTTAACCCTTTACACCTCTGTGAGTCCTGCAACCTTATCCACCATGCCCATCTCTTCCTGTGTGTGCCTATTCACTTCTACCTCTCTCCTGGATGTGTGAAACAGACAGTGCCCATAGTATTAAAAGGTTACAGCATGGTGACATTAATGAAAGCCACAGTTGAGGACTTTGGTTTCCTTCCCTATCCACAGCACCCAAAACAAATGTAACACATATTCTCTGTGTCTTATGCTCCCTCGTAAATTAGTGCTGTATGTGTGTGTGTGCAATCATGCAAGTCCTTACCTGAAATTATTTGAGGTCAGTCTGATGACTTTATAGGTCCTGTAGAGTGTCTTAACTCCTCAAAGCTCTCTGATCAGATTGGATTTCAGAGCAGATTAATTTGCGCTCAGGACGCACTCACGTAATCTCATTTCAGCAGGCCAGAAATCCTGTTGTCTACATTTGAATGAAAGCTCTAGATCTGCTGCACTCTAGGAAATGAGCTTTAGTAGTAGGGTTGTCTACTGATCGAGGGGGGAATTCTGGGTCAAATAGTGAATAGATGATTCACAAACTATTTTTTTTAAAGGGACAGTTCATGCCAAAATCAAAAATGTATTTTTTTTTCTCCTCTTACTTGTTGTGTTATTTGTCAGTTAAGATGGTTTTGGTGTGCCAATTGTTGGAGATGTCGGCAGTAGAGATGTCTGCCTTCCCTCCAATATAATGGAGCCAGCTGGCACTTGGCTTGTGGTGCTCAAAGTGCCAAAAAATACATTTGAAAAACTCAACAGCAATGTCTCTTTCCAGAAATCATGACCTGGTTACTCAAGATAATCCACAGACCTTGTTGTGAGCAGTTTCATGTAGGAACTATTTCTACTTTCTACCAAAGTACACGCACCAAACATATCACCACGCAGAAGGAAGAGCGCATCTACTGCTAGCTCACCTAGCACCACTGAGCTAGCTAACGTTACAGGTCAGCTGAAGGGGATGCCATCAATGTTCATATCTGGTACTGTCACAAGCACGAGCCTGTGGTCTATGAGTAGATGCACGCTTCCTTCTGCGTGGTGATACAGTTGGCTGTGAAGACTTTTTCAAACTAAAAAATGTGGGTGGCCGAGCAGCCACGTCAAACCACCACGTTTGTCATTTTATTGGAAACAATAGAGAAACATCCAGTAACATAAAGTAGCAGAGCTGAGATACTTTGTCTTCTTAATATGGCAGGGCTTGGTATGTCTGCTGAAATGTGGAACTGGTCCATGGTCTCAAACAGAAAGCTTTATTCTTAGTTGTGGTTTGATGCTTTAATGCTGTGAAAATGGTTATACTTACTTCGAGCTGAAGTTGATCACAGAAAGGTTCCGGTTGTCAGAGACAAATTTTCAAATTTTGAGAGCTCTTAAATTTTGTTCTTTATTTGCCCTCTGTATTTTTTATCTCTTGTTGTGACTGTTACTTCCTGTCTTTGTAGTTTTCCTCTCCTTGTGTCTCCTTTTGCTTCCCTTTCCCCTTAAGTTTAGACTTAAAAGTTCATTATAGATGTTTCCTTGTCAGTACTTCTGTTTACTTTGTCTACAAGTTGAGGAGGTGAAGGTAAATGACAGTAGTGCAGGTTTCAGCTCAGATAAGAATGTATGTCTTTACTAAGGTCCTTTTGATTTAGCCCAGTGCTTAAACAAGGCTGAGATTTTTATCTCCCCGACCTCAGCCTCCTTCTTCTCCTCCTCCTCCTCCTCCTCCTCCTCCTCCTGTGTGTGTGTTGTTTGTTACGTGTTGTCTTTCTGTTGTGGTGAACACACGCATTTTTGTGTGTCTTTCCGCAGCCACGCCCGTCTCCGCTGCATGTGTCACTGCAACAGGTGCACCTATTGCCTGTGTCAGAACCTCCTCAAGTTGGAGCTGCTGCGCAGTATTAAGGCCCAACTCCGCAGGGTCGTTTTCAACAGGTTCATACATAGAATAAGCTCTAGTGTTATAACATAGCCTCATCTCTCCTCTCTGTGTCTCCCACCCACCAGAGCGGGTCACAGAGAGGCTCCTTTTTCACCCAAGCTCTCTAACGCTGGTGATGGTGACAGCTCCTCTGCTTTCCTCCAGTGCTCCCCGTGGTCAGGTTTACATTGCATATCCACTGCAGCCAAAAGGGAAGATTAAATGTGGTTGAATGTGATGGTGTTGTTAACTTGTGCCAAAACATGTTTAGATGAGTAGTTAAGGCTTTCATTTGTGAATGATTATGGTGATTGCTTTTGGGGAAATTCTACTTTTGCTTACAGCTGTGTTGCTGCATACATAGCTGCTGTCACCTGAGGGGGTTAACTGCCTTGCTCAGCTGTGCCATCTCTGGTTGTGTAGTTAAATGTTACTCGCTTAAACCAAAGATCAACCACAGGTCCAAGAGGTCCTTGTTTGTGATCAACAAAACAAGTCATAACTCTTTTTTTTTTTTAATCAAATGTATAATTTGTCCAGGGATTCACAAAACATTTTACCGTGAAAAGTAGCTCTCAACTGGTTGAGTTAGGAGAAACTCCTCAAAATAAGGATTTTTTGAGCTGAGTAATTCATTAAGTATTTCAGTCACTACACACCAAAGTCATTAAGTCACTAAGACCTGCTCATAATCAGTCCAATGCTGCAGGTATTGAGCATCAGTGTTTGGGAAAAATAGATGTTTACTGAAATAAATTAATTTTAAAAAATGTGTTTAATATAAAGCAATAATATTTGTATTTTAAATTTATTTTAAATTTAATTTCACAATTCAGTGTACAAATTCTCAGAATTTATAGTGTAATTTAATTAAATTATAAGTTGATTTTATTTGATTTTAATTTACTTTTTAATTGTTCAATTTTATATTTCATTTTATCATTTTATGTATTTTAATTAAGAAAAATAATTCATAATTTTATGTAATTAGAATTATAGA